CCATCGTGATGGCCCTTCGCGCAGTGCGACACCCGCGCGGCCCCGTGTTTTTTCAAGGCACACTTCCACCAAGCAGACTCCAACCGAGAAGAAGGGTGCGTGTGTGCTGGCCGTGGCCAATCTGCCAGAGCCAAAATGGTGCTGTCTGACCTAAGTGGATATATAAAATAGAGTTGGTGTGAACGTGGTTTAGTGCATTGTATATATGGGTGTAGACCACGAGGCACATAAAAGATGTACAAATTTCGTATGTATGACTCCCGTGAAACACTACCACAGATAGTGCATTTTTGTGTAGCCCCCCAAGCGAGCCTACCAAGAGCAGTCGAACCGAGCCGAGGGGTCACATCATGGGACCTCCTACCTCGTTTTGACGGAGCGTCAAGTGACAGCGGCGTCCGACGGGCGGGGCTACGGCCGATAGCTCTGCGCTCGATGTTGAACTTGTCCTGTTATTGGCTTGGTTTAGGGATGGATGGCATCAACGCTATCGTCGCTGGCGATGAGCCCAATTTATTAAAACGGGTCGTTCCTGTCAACATTTCCCAGGCGAACGGTTAGGTGTGCCACAGGTAGAGCCGGGCGTTGATACCCACGGCTAACCGTAGTGTGGCAACCGTGACCACGAAAAAGGCTGTCATGGTTTTGTTTAGAAACGAGCATGACGACGACGCAGTAGCATTTCTTAGAGCATCTTCGCAGCGAAATGCTAAAGCTAACCGTTTGAAGAGCTGGAGAAGTGCCCTACCGAGGCCAGCTAAGTTTTTTTTTAGCTTTTCCCCCCGGGTCCTGAGCCAGCCCGGGTAGAATTCGCTCTGGAGGAGCGCCATGTACTAGCAAACCATAGAGCCAATCACACAGTCTGAATACAATCATTTCCCAAATCAAAACAAGATCCACGATCGCACCAGGAAAGCACAGCCATGTCTATGGATTGGTGCTTAAAGCTCGTTGTCCGAGTCTTCCAGTTGCACCAGATCGTCGCAGCCGCCGCGGATGAGCAATAGCTTCAGAGCATGCGCGCCAAGCACGTCCATCGTTGGCGATGCTGCTGCCTTTAACTTTAGCTCGCAATGCGCAACCTTTCACATTGCCAGCTAGTACCTATTTGAACGGAAATGACCGGGAAACCCGCGTGTTTCGGCCGCTTGGCTTAGCTTTAGCTGCGCCGCGGTGAAGATGCTCCTAGCCAACACCTCACGAGTGTGTTTCTCCATGCGATGAGTACGGCGTATAAGCAACGCGCCGACTGACTGGTCGCGGTGCGCGGCTTCGGTGTGGTCAAAGCGGGGTTGAGTAACCTCGCTTTGATAGGTCAATCGCTGCCAGCTGGTGGCGGATCGTCCGGATACAACGCGACGTCAAAGTGCAATCTCAGCATGACCAAGCGGACGCGCGTCACGGCGCCGGACCTCGCGCCCGAGCTCCTCGAAGCGATCGTCGCGTTCGTACCGCGGCAGCACGACGTGCACGTGCTTCTTGCGTCGCTACCCGCCGCGCAGCTATCGACGCCGCTGCTGGGCTTGCGTAGGCTCTTTGTAGCATTGTACCGTGGCCGCCTCGGCGTCGACGGCGTCACGCTCTGGCCACGACTCTGCCTTCCGCACGCCCTGCCCGACGACGCGGCCTTGCTCGCGCACCTGAGCGCCGCCTTGTCGCTCTACCCCAGCACCGTCGCGCTCTCGTGGAGCAGTGCCCGAGTCGTCGTGCCCGCCTCGACCTCGATCGCACTGACGCTACCGAGCCCGGTGCCATTTGCTTCGTGGCCGAGCGAGCGACTAACAGCGCTCTCCGTCACACTCAGCCCGCGCGCGGCGTGGACGCGCGGCGCGCTCGTCGAGCTGTGCACTGGCCTGCGACACCTACCGATGCTGTCCCGCCTGTGTGTGCACTGGGCGCACGCCGCCGAGGACTTTGGCTGCCTACTGCAAGCCATTACGCTCTCGCACGTCGTCGATCTCGAGCTCCAGTTTGCGCGCGACGACCGCATGAGCTGGAACGCGGACGCGGTGTCGACGATCGCGTCCTGGCTGCAAGCCCGGCCCGTCACCACGCTCACGCTCGGCTTTCTCAAAGTCGACGAACCATCGGTCGCCGCCTTTTGCGCGGCCCTCCACGCCTGCCGCACGCTGCAGTCGCTGTCACTGGACCAAGGCGCGCTGGCCCACGCCTACTTTGTGGATGCTCACGTGCCGCCGACGCTGACGTCCCTTGCCGTGCACGGCTGTCGCTACACCGGCATGCGCAGCATCATGGCGTGTCTTCAGCACGCGCAGCTCGAGGTCCTCTGCCTCTCGTTCCGAATGCACGAGCCGCGCAAGGACGACGAGCTGCTCCGCTTCGTCACGGAGACCCTCCCGACGCTGACCCGGCTGCGGTCACTGGACTTGCCGCACTACAGCTTTTGCCCGGCCTCGGTCGCCGCGTATGCGTCGCTCGCGCCGCAGCTGCGGG